GTGGAGATTGTTGAGAGTGAAGACAACGAATGAAGTGAGTTGAAGAAGGACTCTCAGTAGTCTTCTCCTTTTCAGTAACACACGTTTAGCGTTTAGCAAAGCCATTACAATGCACCACTCTGTATGAATGCATAAACCGTAAATGGAATGAGGTAAACACTACTGCTGTGGGGAAGATGATTAAAGCACAATATGTCTTGATCACGCACAATGCGTGTCTAATGATGTGGTGATACCAACTCCGATGCTCAACCAACAAAACCTATACCGTAGGCGTCTACCGCGGGACTCCTGCTAACCCCTTGAGTCACATAGAAATCCAGCTTAAGTACAAATCACAGAAACCAACCAGCTCTAGTTTGTGGTCTTTTGATAAACCGCTTAGGAAAATGCATTGTGAGCAACGTGAAGAGAAATAATAAAGATGATAGAAGCAGATTCTGACACAGGGCCAATCTACAAAACGACGAGATTACACATTAATGTGGGTCTCAGTTGATATTTGTGGTGCAAATTTAGTTTGCAAGTAATAAAATTACCGAAGGTCAACTGATACACAGTGAACCTGGGGGTCTAGGGGAAGTTCCCTGCTTTGCCCTGAGCTCATGATGCTGCACACTAATAAATGAGTAACTGTCAATTTCATGCTTAGTAAAAACAAATAATTAATTAATAAAAACTGAGTTCTAAACCTGTTGCTCTTAAGAAGTACTGCTCACTACATACATTAATTAATGCTTCATTATTAACTAATGCCTACTGATGTTTGCAGATACAAACATAAAATATCAGTGTGTAACAACTAAACACACAGTGCCTGCAGGGGGCTGGAATCATGATTAGTGCAGCCACCAACAAGAAGAATCTGAGTTCTGTAGAACAAATATTATTCAAGAAACATTGCATTACAAAGGTCGTATTAGAACATACACATGGTCCTGTTATTTATGTAATGCAGCGATAGAAAGACATTTATGTAACTACATGGTATTATCTTATATTCCTTACATCCATGTTATTCCACCATATACACTTTACTGTTTGTACCATCATAAATGGCAAATATGGATTATTCTAGGTTTAAGGATATTTACATTTTATAAGATTTCTGTGTTTCTTGCCTCTAGAATGGTGAAACCAACTCTTGAACCTGATTGTGGGATCCATTCTTCCCTCAGGCTCCCTGTTCTCATTCTCAGCCTGAAAAGACCTGGTTCGATTCACCGCTTAAGATCATAAAATGTCCCTGTGTCTTTAAGTACCAGACAGGGTCAATAGATAGCAATTTTGACGAGGGCCATGATCATAACATAGCCAACAATCCATCATTAGACATGGTAACTAACAAGTAGTCTACTATAACTGCATTATGTTGCCTCGAGGCAGAAAGATGAAAACAGAGTATCTTTAAACCATCAGCAACATTGTACTTCTGTAGACATTGATGCAAATTGCAGATGCTTTTATTTAGAACCATGTTTAGTAAAGACATTCATAGTCCCCAAAGGATGACATCAGCCTCAGCTGTAGTCAGTGCCTGAAATGGGCCATTTTTTTCTCACTTACATTCTGCAAAGACGCTCCCTACTCTGCCTTTGATTGGGTAGAGTTCATTGCCTTCGTTGGTTTGGTTGCTTAGGTTTAGGCATGAGGAGAGGGATGGTTAGGGTTATAAAATAATGTCAGGGTCAGTGCCAATCAAAGGCAGAGTAGGGAGGGATACGGGAAGTACAACAGCGATGAAAATGTCCTTGTTAAAATAGATAAAAACGCCAAAAGTATTAGGGTTAGCTGTATGTCGTAGGCTACTTATGGTTGTGCTGAATTAGGGTTAGGGTTATTTTGGTCTAGTTAAGACATTGGCTGTAGCTTACTTTGTGTTTAGTGCTAATTAGCAAATGTTAGCATGCCAACACACTATACAAAGATGATGAGTGGCAGTGCTTTATCAAGCTCTTTTAATACATCTCTGATGTAAGCATGGTTCCGTTAGCATTTAGCTCAATGCACTGCTGCACCAAAATACAGCCTTGCAGAGCAGCTGATTTACTGCTCAGATCAGACTTTTTGTTATTGTCAGATTCCAGTGTGAACAGATCACGCTCCTGAATTGACCTGCATGCACAAAAGAACAATGAAGATGTCACACACAGCACGCCGTTGTACAGAAACATACAGGCCAACGTGTACAGTGTCATTTATAAGTTGATGTGCAGTGGAAGCCAATAAATTAGCAAACAGATGATAACAACGATGAGGAGAAAGGGAGATCATTTTTTTAATTATGGCTTTTTTTCTCTGTATGGAGAAGTGTGTGAATGCGTAGTAAGAGAAACTTGCTTCACAGAAACAAAATTCATCCAAAATTTCAGGATGCCAAAGGCTTTGGGCTCTTCTAATACAGTAACACCTCTTTCGAATTTAAGACCACATTTGATCGCCGTGCCACACTATCAGTTTGATGCCCCAGAACTCAGGACAATGTGCAACTGTGTTAGAGTGACTCTCAAACAGGGATAAAGGGGCACTGCCTCCTTGACTTTTTACTTATTCAAGCCTTCACATACTGGTGTGTATGGGTGTTGCTGTGAGTCCACCTATGGATGCTAAATAAACCTTACAGAAAGATAAGATCATACTTTAAATGCTTTATTTAATAAATTGCTGCCATAGGCCATTTTTGCCTGTGGTCAAAAATCTTTTTCTAGATGCAGCTTCCTTAACACATTAGACTCCCTCAGGCTTTGTGTGAACCATCAGAATGGAAAGGTGTCAGGATAAAATATAGGGCTCATTATTTGTACTTTTAGGATTCAGGTAATATAATCACTACTTGTTAATTAGAATGTAGAAAGCAACAAAAAAGCTAAGAAAATGAAAGAAACTACACAACATTCCTGAGAGGCAGAAACATTTTCAAGAAAAACTGGATCTCTAGTACATCCTTTAAAAAAATAAACTGAAGCTGAATATATCTAAAATTATGATCTCCCAAAAGAAGCCCAGATCTCAGATCTGATCAAAGTCATTAGTTAAAATTAGGAAACATTCATCTTACATTTTAAAATGAGCCCCCAAGACACACTGAGATTTCAGGCACTACAAACCCAAGAACTGAACCCCAAAAATAGTCCCTGTCAGACTTACTGATCAAATAACACTCAATAATGTTCAACCTCAGTCTAGCACTGCTTTCCACTAATACGACTAAACCAAATCCTGGCTACCAACAGAGGAAAGAATCTGTGGTCACTCCACAACAGGTGAGGTTGAGACAGAGATGCACTTTCTCCTAAAATGTACAAAATAGGACATCAGATGGGAATACTTGAATACATTAATAAATTAATAATAGAGATAGAGATAGCATACCCCGCAAACTGTTTGCAGCGCGAGAGCCAAGAAAAAACACAAAGAAGCTATCAGAAGCAGAATCAGAATCAGATTTATTGCCAGGTAGGTTTTTACACATAGGAGGAATTCATCTTGGTGCAGTGATGCATAAAATATACAATCACACAAAA